CCTTAATCCAGTTTTTAAAATTTACTGAACAAATTCCAGATGTGATCCCACCCTGTTCCCACAGCAGCAGTAATTTCACTTAAGTCTTGAGTGGTAATTTCACAAAACTGCCAAGAGTAGGACTCAGGAGGTTTAAAGAACAGACACCCAAAGCACAGAACAGAACAGTTTATTGGGTAAAAATGGAAAGCAACTGCAGCCACACAGTTCAGTGAAATCAAAAATAAATAACTCCTTTTTAGAGCCAAATCTTTGATTAAGTTGCTGAGATTTTGGGTGGCCGTGGTACCAGGGGGGCTGCCCCTCATGGCAGAGTGACTCCACCACAGCCAGGACAGGGCCCTGGGCTGGATTCCCTGGAGAAATTCCACAGGGAGCAGCTCCAGCTCAGCCCTTCAGGGAGGACATCCCAGCTCTCATGATTTCATCCACCAGGAGAATGTTGCTGGCAATCACCGTGCTGGAAACAGGGAAACAGCAAAGAAATATCGTTACAATTGCCAAACTCAGCTTCATTTTTGTGTTTCAAGACATCTTGCTGTAGATGGGATCCCCAGTTTTACATCACCTGAACACACACACAGAGTAATGTTACAAGTGAAATCCTGCCAGCCTTACCATGAATGAAGCAGCTGCTTTTTGACATTGTAATTATCCCAGATTCCAGCTGCTGCAGCCACCATGGGCTCCCCTGCAACACAAGTGAAGAGCCTTCAAAAACCAGTTCACACAGAGACTTTTTGCTGGCAGACATCTGATATCTCTCACTGTATCCAACAGTGTGCCTTATCCTCTAAAAACCTCAAATCAGCACACACTGAGCTACAGCAGCCTGACTGCCAAGGCTTCTGTGCAGCTTTTTATCAATAAAGATAAATCTGTCTGCACTCAGAGCCCTTTGTGCTTCAGAGCTGAGCCAGGTTCTTACTGGAGCACCAGCCTGTGGCTGAGGGAGAACTTACCAGTGTTGAGATCAACCCCAGTGAGCTGCCCTGACTCCATGTGCTCTGCCTGCACCTTCACCAGCGTCTCCTGGGGATCATAGCCCGAGTTCTGAGCAAGCACCTGGCACAGAACACAGGGATTGGTTTAATTTTGCTGATTACAGAGCCCTCCAGCAGAAAAAGCAGAGTCTGTGTGTGCTTTAAAGTTAATTTATCACCCAGAACTCCTTTTACCTTAGGAATGATGAGCAGAGCATCAGCAAAAGCCTGAACTCCAAGCTGGGCTCTTCCTTTCACGTTGGGTTTGTGTTTCACAAGAGCATTGGCCACTGCCACCTCCAGTGCCCCTGCTCCTGGCACCACACATCCTGCAAGGGAACAGCACCTGTTTCATTTAAACTGCTCATTTTAGTGCAGTTTGATCTCTTCCCTCCATACCCTGCACCTGGATGTCGCAGACATTTCTTCATAGAAATCCTTTCTTTGGGATTTGTCCATTTTCTGGGAAGCAAAGGGCCCCAGAAGAAGAATGTAAACGAATTGTTATCAGCTGTTGTGAGATGTGGCAGGTGATCCTGTGATTGGCTCATCTTCCATGTTTCCAACTAAGGGCCAATCACAGGAGCAGCTCAGGGACAGATTCCCTGGACACAGAACTTTGTTATGCATTCCTTCTATTCTATTCTTAGCATAGCAGTCTCTGCAAGCTCTCTCTTTATTCTTTTTAGTATAGTTATAATGTATTGTATATCTTATATCAATAAATCCAGCCTTCTGATCAAGGAACAAGATTCTCGTCCTTCTCTCACCACAGTGACCCTTAAGGTCACTGTAATACCTGAACAGGTGAATAATCAACCACAGAACTATGAAATCCTGAGCTCAGGCTTGAACTGGAGCAGGAACCAAGGGAGCTGATACATAATTCCCTAATGTTGGGATGAGTTTTTACACACCTTTATGATGATGAACAGGGAGGGCACTCACCATCCTCAATGGCATTTTTCACAGCCCGCAGCCCATCCCTCACTGCATCCTTGATCTGGGTCAGCGTGTGCTTGTTGGGGCCCCTGATGAGCAGGGTCACCGAGCGGGGGTTCTCACACTTCTCAATGAAGGTGTACTTCTCCTCCCCCTGGGGAAAACAGCACCACGTTTGCCTGTCAGCCACTTGCTTCAGCAATTTGTGTACACAAATCAGTAACCTGGATGCTTTCAGGCTGGGTTCTGCACTGACAGCACTTCAAGAAGTGATGAGAAGCAGCAGAACTTTATTTCTGTTTTCTCAGCCTATGACAGGAGCAAACATCCAGGCAGATGTTCACATCCAAGTGGATTTTAAGTGTTTTATTTCAATACTCCAGCTTTACCCTTCCAACACTGGGTCACTCACCAGGGTGTACTCATAGACCAGCCCTGCATGTCCCAGGCAGTCAGGAGTGAGATCCTCCACAGAGTTCATGGCAGTGCCACCACAGGCCAGGGTCAGTCTGACAGAGAACAGGCAGAACTCAGCTTTATGTTCAATAAAACCCAAAATCACTGCACTATTTCAGCATGCAGATCCTAGGCTTGCAGTTTGGTTCTGTTCATGGAAGAACTCTTTAAAAAACTGACTTGTAGAATTAAGGCTCCTCTGTAGGTGTCTGCATTTAAAGCACCCTGAGAGCTCAAACTGCCCTGAGTTACACCAGAAGAGCTGCACAGATTGAAGTGGAATTTTTAGTCAAGCCTTTAAAGATGGATTTAAGCCAGACTTGACTGACTGTCTCAGTTTGGAGGAGCAGATTATTGTATCCTCTCCTCTCCCCAAAACTGACCTTTCCATGTTCCTCCTTTTAGCTCTCCTCAAAGCAACAATTCCTTCTTTGGCAAGGGCATCCAAGGAAAATGGGTCAATTCCCTGTAAACAGAAAGGGACCATCAGCATAAGGACAAAGCTAAAAACACCTCCTCTCTCTCTGACACTGATTCTTCCTCAAGGCTCAAAGAAGATCTCAAGTAGGAACTCTACATTATATTCAGAACTATCAGGCTAAATTTAGCTAATTCTGGCATTTCAAATAATGCTTAGTTATTCTCTTCATCTCACCTTCTGATTGATGACAACAAATCCTTTGTCTGAGTCGCCACAGACTTTTCTTTTCAACTCTATGATTTTGTTGACTCTGTCTTCAATGAACTTTCTTTCTGCTTTCACCAACTTCTCCCTCTCCTCAGCACTTTTGTAGAAGAATCCAGAGCTCACCTCCCTGAAGGGGAAAAAAAAACCCCCACAAAAATGCAGTGAGAAAATTTCCCCTCTGCTGTAGAAATAAACTGGAGCATAAGGAATGAGCATAATGAATGTTTCTTCAGTAACATTCTAAAGAAATCAACCCAGAACAAACCAGTCCCTCCAACCCACACTGATGTTCTGCTCCCTAATTCAAAGCTTTTCCACTCCAGAGTTCTCTCAGTTTCAAGTGTCTGCCTTATTTTTTGAAGTATATTAATGTGTTTGTTCTACAATATCAAATTGTTCCCAAGAAAGGAAGGGCTTTCAACCTTTCTGTGATCACACAACAAAATAAAATCCACTGTGCAGCTCTGCCTCTCACAGAGATTTGTTCACCCACCACCTTTCCCCAAAGGGCTGCAGAAGGGGAATCACCTTTCCCCTTCACAGTTTTGGTTGATATTTAAGCACATTTTAAATAAAAGTCCTGAGGACAGGAGCATGTGCTGGGTACTCACGTTTTCTCATACTCCAGAGACACATTGCAGGTAAGGATAAAAGCATCTTCCACTCTTTTCTTCATGTCAGGGTGGCGAGCTCCATGATCCAGCACCAGCCCCCTGATCAGCCTGCAAGGTTAAAAACCCCTCTGGGTGTCCATGGACACAAACACAAGATTCCATGGAGTGTGAGAGTGCAACTGCTGCAGCCCAAGCTGCCTGGGCACTGCTGGGTGATGTGTCCCCCTCCCAAGGGCATGCTCGTCCCATCAAAAAGCACACCAGGCACAGTGGGAAAAAGGAATTTGCTCTGGCATGGTGTCTGACTGCACCAGCTATGAGGAGAGCTAGGGCAGAATTCATCCATGCACTGAGGGAAAGGGAAATCCTGTGGAATATCCAATCCACAACCCAGTTTCCATTTATCAAATGCTGCTTTGTGATTAACAGATGCAAACCTAAAGCATCATCAGACACTAAGAAAAAAGAGTATTTATCCAACATTGTTAAGCCAGTGTTGCTCTTTGTTATTTGACAATTTTATCAAGGAATCAATTCAGTGAGTGAGAAACTTCTACCAAGTTAAAGACAGATTTAAGCCAGATTTGACTCACTGTCTCAGTTTGGAAGAGCAGATCATTGTAACCTCTCCCTCATAAAGATAGTTATGGCTGAAATTTGTATTTCAACTCTTGCAGTGGTAGCTTTATGACACCCTAAAAAGAAACCAAAACCTTCCAGGCTCCTCAAAGCTCAGGGTCCCATTAAATTGAAGCCCAAGGATCCTCCAGACTTACGTGGTGTCTGTCTCTGATTTGTGCTTCATCTCCATGATTTCCACCATGTACAGGTCAATGGGCTCCCCTGGTTTTCTGACTGTCAGGACAGAATCTACCACAGCCTGCAGCACAGGGGAGGGAAACATCCCAAAATCACCATCAGTCTTCCAAAGTTCACACCTTTCCCACTTCAGATTATAATTAAAGCACTTCCACAGCTGGCTCTCTTCACCCACAGAGGCAGAGTGACAGGGACACTCACCTCTGTCAGGATGTCAGCAAGCTCAGCGTGCACTTTAGTCCTGAGGGATGTCCTGGCAACATCGATGAGGGTCTCCCTGTCCATCTCCTTGGACACTTTGACCTGATCCAAAACCTCAAGTGCTTTTTCCTTGGCAATCTCAAATCCTTCTGCCACTATTCTAGGGTGCAAACCCTAAGGCAAGGGAAGAGAAATCATTGGACAATGGAAGATAAAATAGTTCTTTTTGCACAAACAGAACCTGTGGTTTCAACATTCCAAGGAATGGCAAAGCACAGGGAATATGCTGCCGAGGCCATGTGTTCTGTCCTTCTGAATACATGTAAAAGGAATGGAAATCCTTCCAATGCAGAGGAAAAGCACAGATTAATTTAGCACAGACTGAAACCAAGGGAACTACAAAGCACACTTGGGTGTTCGCTGTGCAATACCCACGTTTACCTGCCCTCAGGGAGGAGCTCCTGTCAAACACTCCAGAAGTGCTTTGACTCACACAAAACAAAGTAACAGCAGGTATCACCCAAAACCTTAAAAGCTACAGTATCCACAATAAGTGGGTTTGATTTTGAACAGGGTTTGAGTCCCCTCCTCTAGCTTTTCTCCCTTTTTACAACTTCTCATTTTAAGCAGAACAATGTATTTATGTTCCACTCCTGTTAAACATTTAACAAAAACAGCCCACTGAAGGTTTTAACTTGCCCACCGACGAAACATTGCATACACACCTCAGAAATGTAAAGATCTGCCTGCTTCAGGAGCTCTCCAATGATGAGGACATTCGAGGTGGTGCCATCTCCAGTGATGTCATCTTGTGCTGTTGCTACTTTTGCTATCAAGGAGGCCGTGGGGTGTTGGATTTGCTAGACAAAAATAAGAAGATGAGCAGTTAAGTGATACAGCAAACGAAAATCCGAGCTCAGCTAAGAAAGAACTGAAGGTGATGTTTTAATGGTTTAACCTAATTGGTTTGCTACTCCTTTGGCTGATTATTTTACTCATTCTCATGGTGCCGTTTATATTTTTAACATTATTCTCTTTTCAATATTGCGTTAACCTGCACTTATTTCTTCACCCTCCTCCGAAGGCGCATTTTGCTTCAATAGATAGGGGTCGCTGGGGCAGGAGGGACGCGATTCCCCCTCACCCAAAGGCGCTCGTCCCTCCCTAAACCCCCTGCTCGGAGCAGCCCCAGCTCACCATTTCCTGCAGCAGCACGTTGCCATCTTTGGTCAGTTTGATGTCTCCGGAGCCCGACACGAGCCTGCGGGAGGCACGGGAGGGTGAGCAGCGCCCCGGCTCCAGCACACGTGTGAGGCCGCGGGCCCGCCCCGCTCCTTCCCCATCCATTCATCCATCCCACCCCGGCCTCAAAACACGTGCGGGGCCACCCGCTCCTTCTCATCCCTCCATCCCTGAGCCACGGACCCCTCCCGCCTCCGCCTTTGTTCCCCTCCCGGCCCCGCTGCTTCCCCTCACGCTCCCCTCAGGCCGTGCTCCCCCCCAACCCCACCCGCGGCGAGAAGCGCGGGGGCTCCCTCACATCTTCATGGTGCCCTTGGGGCCCAGGTTGGTCCTCAGCACGTCCTGCAGCCCGCGGGCCGCGCTGATGTTGACGGCCAGCGCGGCCTGGGCACGGGCCACCTCGGCCTTGGGGTTGAGCGCCTTCACCGCCATGACTGCGCTCCGCTCTGGGCCGCGCCGGGCGGGGCGGGGCACCGCGGTCCTGCCTCCTGCCCGCCCCTTCTAGAACACTCCGGGCTCACCCATTGGCCCACCGGCTCGGTGCCGCGTTTCTATTGGTTAATAGGCCTGTCGTTCATCCCGGCCGCTCCCGCCGCCAAGGCGTCCCGGTTCTCATTGGTTCGTTGGCGCGCTAGCCACGCTCTCATTGGCTGCGGTGCCTGTCGCTCCACTTAGTCCCGCCCCCATGCCTCTGAGGCGCGGGCGCGGCACCACCCTCAGAGAGGGTTGTGAGGGGAGCGCGGTGCTGGTGTGGGGCTGTCTGAACGAGCGGGGATGGTCGGTGCTTAATCCGCCCTCTCATGTCACGGACACCCTCAGCAACTCCGCAGAACTGTCAGAATAAATAATTAAACCCGATGATTTCACATTAGACCGATAAAATTAATAGTTAAGTGGCGTGGATTAATAATCAATGGTTCTTGGTTAAATTCGGGATTGAGGTTAATAAAAACTCATTTTCTCATAACACACAAGCTGATGTGTGGGCACCGGGGCTTCCATAGCCCCCAGTTGCACACCTTCTGCCCGGGACTTTCCTGGACTGAATCCCTCCCGGGGGTTCTAAGGATGGGGATGGTCCCTGCAGAGGTTTCTGTGTAAAATAAAACCAGAAATATTATTGCCAAGACAGCCTTTGTAGGTGTTGAAACGTTTCCCTAGGCGAGGAACCCTGTCAGGGCTCACTACTGGAGATAATATAATATTTGTTTATTTGGACTCTGAAATGGAAGGACAAGTGAGTTTCCCTGGAGAGGAGCTGAAGAAGGAGCTCCCGCCATGGTCCCTCACACCCTGCAGGCACCGATTGCACCAGGCTTGAATCCCAAATTGCTCCGTCTGGGCTTGTCCCCTCCAACACCCACATGGCAACACCGGGTGTGACACAACCTCTTCTGATTCCAGGTGTTGCATGAGGCCCCACAATAATCCCCCGGCAGTTCCCTGTGCTCTGCAGCCCGGCTGCTCGAGAGGCTGCAGGCCACAGGCACAATGGCCCTGAGGCCAGGATTTAGTCAGAATTTGGTGCAGGGAAGGCAGAGACCCTTCCCCAGCCCTCTCCCACCAGGTATGAAGATGCCCAGAGAAGCTGGAAGTGTCCAAGGCAAGGTTGGACAGGGCTTGGAGCAGCCTGGGATAGTGGAAAGTGTTCCTGCCCATGGCGGGGGGCTGAAACAAAATGCTCTTTAAGTTTCCTTGCAACCAAACCTATAAAATCCTTCCCTCTCCATCCCACTTTTTGCAGCAGCCCTAGATTGCTCCAGCAGTGCAATGAGCTGGATGTATTTCCACAGCACCTCCAGGAGTAAAGGCAGAGCATGCTCCTGGGTCCAGTTTTGCTGTACAGGACTTTTGGGGGAGCTTGATGGGAAATGTCAGTGTCAGATGTCAGGGCAGCCTGGCTGGGCTTGGCTGCAGGCTGTGGCACCTGCTTTGGGTGAGGATCTCAGGTTTCTGGGCAAAATGCCACGTTGTGCACAAGAGGAGGAGTCCCACATGGGGCCTGTCTGTCTCTCTGGAAGGGACAGCTGCTGATTTCCTTGGGATTCTGGTTTTTTAATGTGTTAGGTGATGTTTGGACATCCTACAAGTTTGGAGCCCTATTGTTGAGCAGTGTCTTGTGAAATATTTTGACGCTGGCTCCAGTGGAGTGGCTGGGCTTTCTCCTCTGTGGTTGCAATCATTAGAAATAAATATTAAACATTGCAAAATGCAGGGAATCACAGTTGTCATTTCAATATTAGCTCTGGAACTCTGTTAAAATGTTGTCTGCACTTCACTGGGATGCTGAAACCATAACAAAACAAACCACCAAACGTGGCGCAAGGCTGCTGTGCAAATATCTGAGATGCAATGTCCAGTTAAAACACCCGGATCCCCAGCTCTGCCCTGGATTCTGGAACGCCCAGATCAAATATTTTCTAGCTCTTGCTTCTCTAGTTTGTTATTTTGCCTGTTCCTCTCAGGGCTGTTCTCAGCAGAGGGCAGCCTTGTCAAACCCATCCCAGGCTTGTTAACTTTCATGTTTCCCTTGCTGATGCCTATGGAAAGGCAGGAATTGCCCATCCTAAAACATTTGTGGGGCTAGCAGTGATGTGGGCCAGGTTCAGGTTTGTGAGAGGAATTATTTCTGCTGGGAAATAAAGAGAAAATTTCGTTTTGAGATTTTTTTTTTTTTTTAGGACCAGAGGGGATGGGAAGGGAAAAGCTGCTTTCGAAGACATCCTAATCCTCCATGCAGGTGGTTTCTGCTGTTTTTTTTTTTTGTAAAAATGGAGAGGTTCTGTAGTGACATACCAGAGCTGGGTGCTGTGTTTGTATTTTCCTGAGCATCCTTCTACAGCTCTCAGGCAGAGCTCTCTGTGTTTCCTTGCTGGCTCACATTCCTCAGGATAGTTATTTTGTGTTATCGTAACATTTCTCATGAGCATCTCCACATTAAAATCCCATTTTGCAGCATTTTTCAGCCATCAAGACAAGCTTTTTTTCCCTTTTTTTTCAGCCTTGGCTGTAAAATTGTTCTATTTGTTTTTTGTGTGTAATGAAAATAAAGGGCAAATGCTTACCAGACTTAAATTGCCCAATGAATTCAATGGATTACACCAGGTTAAAATCAAAATATTTAACTAAATTAAAGCCAACATGTCCATTAAACTAAGCCAAATAAAGGAAATATCCTTCATGAAATATTCAGCAGCAATTCTCTTAGTCAAGCCAGGCACTGCTTATCTTGGCAAAAACCCCTCTGAGATTCTCAGTAAAAGCCATTTTCTTTCATCTTTATCAAGATGGGTTTTCCTTTAACCTTATTCACAGAAATGATTTCTAAATCTGCTTTGAACAACATCCTGTCCTGCCATGATAAAGCTGACAAACAGCACCGGGCTGCTGATCCCCGGCACCAGTTTGGCAGCACAGGGGCTTGGTCCCATCTTTTCCTGACTCAAGAAGCTCCTGAGAGATGATCCTGTCATGTACTGAGAAATTCTGAAAAAGCATAAAGGGAGGAGGGGCACAAAAGGTGATGGGATTTAATTAATAAATGGAATTTTGAGGGGTGACGCTGCCAGGATGGCAGAAGAGGTCGTGCACAGAGCATGACTGGAGCACCCAGCGGTGCAGAACAGACGGGCAGCGGTCACAGGACTCCTGGCACAAGTGGACAAAAGCAGCTAAATCAGCTAAATCAGCTTTTCTTGACCTTGAACCAAACAACTCCTGGCCTGGCACTGTCCCATTGTCCAAGCCACAGCAGTGAGCAAGGGAAGCTCTTCTGTGGGATGCCAAAACAAAAGCATGGGCAGCTTTGGCAATTTTTCCACAGCTTTGGGGGAAACAACACAGAGCCTTTTCCCAGGCCTTTCCCCTTTGCTGCTGAGCTTTTGCCAGCTTTGGATGGGATTTGTGTGGGTAACTTCACTCAGGGATGCACTAACAGCTCAAGCCAAGAGGAGATATTGGAATTTTAAATCCCTGAATGGTGGCTGTAGTCAGGTGGGGTTGGGCTCTTTTTCCAGGCAGCACTGAGAACCAGAGGATGCAGCCTTAATCTGTGCCAAGAGAAATATAGGCTGGATGTTAGGGAGAAGTTTTCTACAGAAAGAGTGATAAAGTTCTGAAATGGCTGCCCAGGGAGGTGGTGGAGTCCCCATCCCTGGGGGTGTTTAACAAAGCCTGGATGTGGCACTGGGTGCCAGGGTTTAGCTGAGGGGTTGGGGCTGGGGTGGACTCGATTTTAAAGGTCTCTTCCAACCTGGTCATTCTGTGAATTCTGGAAATTCTGGGACTGGGGAGGTGGTGGAGTTCACCATCCCTTAACAAAGCCTGGATGTGGCACTGGGTGCCAGGGTTTAGCTGAGGGGTTGGGGCTGGGGTGGACTCGATTTTAAAGGTCTCTTCCAACCTGGTCATTCTGTGAATTCTGGGAATTTTGGGACTGAGGAGGTGGTGGAGTCCCCATCTCTGGGAGTGTTTAACAAAGCCTGGATGTGGCACGGGGTGCCAGGCTGTAGCTGAGGTGTTGAGGCTTGGTTGGACTCAATGATCTTGAAGGTCTCTTCCAACCCGGTCATTCTGTGATCCCAGCTCACAAATCCTCCCTTCTCTCCCGAAAACAGGAGATCTTCTCCTCAAAGCTGATTTCAGTCAGGAGAAGCTTCCGATTGCCGCTGCCCGGAGCGGCCCGTGAGGGCCGAGCGAGCCCCCGCGCCCGCCGCTCCCTGCCCGGCCTGGCCCGGCTCCTCCCCTGGCCCGGGGCGGTCACACCTCTGCCGCCCTCGCTGGCAGCGAACAGCTTGCCCTGCTCTGCTCCCATGTGTGCGAGCACCTCAAACAAACCCCCCGGGCCGCCTGACTCAGCGCTTTATCAGGGGCCGAGCGGCAAAATGCGGCTGTCGTCCAGCGCAGCCCGTGCGCGGGGTTTGTGCCGCTGAGGGCTCAGCTGATCCCTCCCTGCCAGGCGCAGCCCGGAGCCTCCCGGCGGCAGCAGCAGCCACGGCCGCTTCCCTTCTGTATCCTGTAAGTCACCGGGATCGCGCTTTTCTCGCAGCTCGGAAGGGGTTGGAGTTTGGCTCGCAGCTCCATAACACAAGGGGGGTTTTTCCAGCAGGGAAAACGAGGAGGATCTTGTGCCTTGTGCTGCCCGGCTGGTTTATAACAGCAGCGTGAATGAATGATGCAATCGGGCACGGGGGGAGCAGCGGCGTTTTGGCAGCAGGGGCGAGAGGGGATTGGAGAGTTGGGAGGTGGATGTCAACATCCAACAGGTTCCTTCTGCCCTTTTTCACCTGCTTTTCGTGAGGTGTTGGAGTGAGTTCGCTGTGAGGCACTGCTGTGCAGAGAATCGTGCGGAGCTGCGAGCAGCTCATCTCTCGACTCGCAGGCAGCTTTGTGCCACTGCCTTTACAAACCGAGCAGGAGGTTAAAGCAAAACCTAACATGAAATAGAAAACCCAGGAAGTTTAACAAAAACCTAAAAAAAAGAAGAAAACCCAGGAGATTAAGGACTGAGTTTTCCTATTCTCACCCTGCAAACCACAGAAAGTTATGTGTGGAAGGGTTGAACTTCTAAAACTTATATAAAACACAAACACAATTTGCTTAAATATAACTAATCTGCTTAAATGTATCAGCTTTCCTCTAAAGCTTTCAAGACGTTGCTAATTCTGAGGATGAAAGCTCAGCACAGAAAAGCTTTGCCACTGTATTATTCCCATTTTACAGACACAGGACTGGAAACAATGAGGATTAAGTGGTTTGTTTTGACTCATACCATGGAAACACTCCTGGGAATGTTCTTAGAAGCTGTAGGAGGAAAAGGGCCTGAAAAAAACTTTCAGGAACTATTTTCTCCAAATCCTTTGCTCTGAGCAGCAGTTTCCCTTCAAGGCAAAATAAACAGTTTAATGTGGTTGAACTTCTGTTAATGTTCAATGTTAAATGGGGAAGTGAATCAGAAATTGTTTGCAAACAAGGATATTCCAGAGTGCTGGGTAATATTTCATTAAGATTCACTTAATCTTCATTTTTAACAGCAATAAATGTGATCATCATGCAAAGTGGCAGCGTGGCAGCACTTGTGAAAGCTGAAATATGACAACAAGGGAGGTTTAGTCACATTGAGGGGTTTGAGATCTCATCAGAACCTTGCAGCCCCAGAACACCTGCAGTTCTGAGCACTGCTCGCATTTGCATTTCCACATTACCTATGGATACAGAGGATGGGGCAGTTTTTCCCCATGAGGCAAGTGCCCTTCTTTGAAGGGACAGCAAACAGAGAGGATTTCAGTTGTTTTCCTTTCCCATGTGCTCTTACATAATTCCTCTGTTTGTGACTCCACCCTGTCTATTATGAAAGAGAATTATTTATTGTGAAAATATCTTTTTTTTTTTTAACAGCCCAATGAAACATTTCATAGTCTGGAGGCAAGGAGATCTCATGGGAATTCCCCTTTTCCCTTATAATTTTCTTTTTTCTCCATCTTTATCTCAAGTTTCACCCTACCTCTTTCTCTCTCACTCTTTTGTCTTCCTTAGTCACTTCTTTGCCCAGTGTTCTTCTCTTCCCCATATTCTTCTTTCCAGCTTTTCCCTGTGGTATTTTATATCAGACCTCTTGAAATGTTTGCTGCTTGCATGTTTTTCAGGCTAGGAATTGATTACCTACCTGAAATTCAGAGGCAGGAAGATCAGAGATTCCCTATCAGTGTTTTTCCTGTGGAAACAGAACCCATTATTTGTGGGAATTTCATTTTTCTTCCCATCTCATTAAAACACTTACACTTTTAAGCAATCAGATGCTCTGTATTTAGAATAATTAATCTCTGCCACTTACACAGGCCTGGACCACTCTGGAATACAAAATTGCTTTTCCCTGACTGCAGCTGAGATTTGTCCATGGAAGGGTTTTACACAACTTTGATTCTTTTTGCTTTTTGATTCAGATGTGCTACTGATGATTTTTGCAATTCTTCCCTTCCACTTTGTCATTTTTAGACAGCATAAACCATAGTTTGAAACTATTTTCAAATAGGAATAAAGAGAGGACAGGGTTAATTCCAACTATGACTCCACAATAATTCTTCTTTATTTGTCCATCAAAGTGCAAAGTCCAGCACAGCTTTCATGCCATCATTGTCAGGGAAAGGAGCATGGGAAATGTGGATATCAGAGAGAAGGAAAAGTGAACATTTCATCACTCCCAGCACACCTGTGGAGAGATAACCTTTTTCTGGGGCAGATCAAAGCCTTGCATCCAGACCAAAATTACAGCTTGTCACTGAGCAATCACGTCACAGAGCAGTGTCCCTGTGGTCTCTGTAAGGTCCCCGGGATGAGGGAAGAGATGAATGTGACTCCATGTTCTCAGAAGGCT